GTTCCAGGGTGCTCAGTCGCTTATATATCGCAGCAGGAGGCCTCACTGCACTCTGTTGGCCCACGCATTTTTCACGCTGTTATTTGAATTTGAAAGTCCTCTTCGGGCCTCAGTAAGGGAAAAAGTTCCCCACCGTTGACATTGCATTGCACTCGATCTCATTAGAGACTGGTTAAGTTTGTCTCGCCTGGCATCCATCACAGTGAGTGTCGGATCTGGTCCTTTGTGGATGACAAGCAAGTGTCATCCGAATGAAACATTCAGAGTCCTTGACACCAGCTTAAGAAAGAGTAGATGCATTTGACTGACAGCCTCAAGGCTGCTCCTGGCATTGACGGATGCGTCAATATGCATCGCATCACGTGGTGGTGGTTGGTGGTGGCGGTGGTGGTGGTGACCACGAGGTTAGTTGTGAGTGTGATTTGTCAAATTTCTAATAGGGGGTGGAGGATGTTGGGATATTATAGAAAGGTTGTCACCAATCCGCACTGACCAACTTAGTGAAGTATGGTCAAACAATCCACATAGCGGACATCCAATAATATACTGACTCAAATTTTCGTTAAATATTCACTTCATGTGTGAAATGCACTTCTAAATAATGACCATAATAAAGCATTTAACAATCATCGTATTCACCATATTCACCAAACAACTCTCGCCCTTCCAGTATTGAAAAAGGTGTCCCTCGGCTTTTTGGAAAACTAGGGAAACATCTTGCCCCGTACTTTCCATTTAATGTTTTTTGTAATCGTATTTTTTCTAAACAGATGCACAATTATTCGGGTTGTCCGTCTGTCCAACCAAAACATTCGCGAAAATGTTGAGAAATTAATTCTAAGTCACGTTACCTCCGTACGTGGCAGCGGGAATAGAAATTATGACATCTTCGTTATTTGCATTAATCCCCCCCCCCCCCCCCTCGAATTTGGCGCCCCACTTAAATTAGCGCCCTAAGGCGACTGCCCTCGTTCACCTCTATGGACGGTTCGCCCCTGCTTAGGTTCTCAATTATTGTTTTTTTTATCATCGACATCCCTCCCACTCGCTATACCCCACCTGCGGCCTAGTGAATGGCCCAGGGAAAGCCCACTTCAGCTGGGCAGGAATCTAGGCGAGGCTGTGGGCGGGTAGGGGGCGGGGCATTGTGATGCTACTGCTGATGGTTTGAGAAGTTGATAAAAAAAAACATGACATTTGTTTTACGTTATTTAAGATAACGTTTCTTTCAAAAGCACGTCGGTGCTATGGTTAATTACATTTCTTGTTTACTTCTTGAATTGCACACTGTGTTGCGTATAATCCGTTAATAAAATAAAAAGAGGGTTAGTTTGTTGAGCGAGGTCGTGGTGTAATGGGCCATGCCATCCTTACGGTTGCGAATTGGCCATTGTGGACCCGGCTAGATTTCTATTTTCTTTTTAAGTCACCCAGGACCAGCACATTTAAGACACTGGAGGCCTGCCTAGTCGATGGGGACACTTTTGGCCCGGTTTGATTCCCCAGTGACCCTTGGTTCGCGAGTGCTTCGTTACACCTTGTGGGTGTGCAATGTGTGTGTGTGTCCGATTCATTGGCCTCTGCAGTTCAAGAGATTTTTGTTTCGTTTGTTGCAAACGTAGAACGTCCTGAATTGCATTCGGAGCATTTCATTGCAATGTCATGGAACGGAAAGGTGACGACGGGTGAATATCTCGTGAACAAAAGAGCCGGTGTTCCGGCAAATGTATGCGATTCAATAAGGTCCAGTTGCTCGTTCCATTCCGTTCCATGAAAGCCAAATGATCCAGTGCTCTCCCGTCTCGTTCCATTCACAATTCCTCAGTACAACTGCATGAACTCCTCCTCGATAAAGATCGACAGCCTCACAGCCCTCTACGGAGACCCCCCGCAACACCAACCCCCCTTCAGCCATCATGACCCGACCCACGCATTCAAACCATCGAGATATTGAATGCTCCTGAGAATGTATCCCCTCCCACCACCACTACAACCACCCCCAGAACACGTGTGGTTGCCACTCCTTTGACGTAACTGCACCTGTTATCAGATTTCATTTCTTCCCCTTCTCCTTTCCTGTCTCTTCCCTCCTCCTCCTCCTCCACTCTCACCACCCTCGCCCCCCTTCCCCCCCCTCCCCACCTTTCCTGGCCACCGTGCAGTGAAGGCAGAATCCTGGTCCTCTCGCTTGTCATGGGACTTTCCGAGCAGGATGATTTTGCTAACATTCCTGACCCTCAATCTCCCAATAATCCATCCGACAACAGGTAGGAAACGTCCTTTTGTCATTGCTGTCATTACTCATTCTCCCCCCCCCCCCCTCCTCCCACTGTGCCATTATGCCCCGTGGCTTTCTCCCCATCCCCTTTGCACGCCTGTCCTTTTTTCTTCTCTTGCATCGACATGTGACGCTGTATCGGCACGCGCGAGGCTAAGTGTAGCGCGTGGCACGGTTGGCGCCCTCTGTCAATCCACTGTTGGGTAAAGGCCTCATCCACCCAATGCCCCCTCCCAATGTCAGTCGTGGCAGCCGTTTGACCACCACTTGAGCACGCTGGCCGTTGTGAACAATTCGCAAATGGTGATGAGCGTGGGTCTTTGGCCAGGATGGCCTCAATAAGTCTCATGCCGTGCGTTCGGGAGGGTCCTGCTTTTACACATTTGGAGTGCTTTGGTCAATTTGAAGTTTGGCTTTGTGTGGCAGAAAAAAAAAAACCAAATCATTCTCCAAAAATTTCCAGCTGTGCACGGATGCTTTCAAGAATCCATTGCAGTACTGTCCTGTACTGGCCACCTCACAGCTCCCAGAGCTGAACATAAATATATTTCCAGTATACGCAAAGCTGAACATCCAACGAGCAGTGACCCATCCCATCATCCCACCGTGGTTGATAAACTGCACGCCGTTTCGAGGGATTTCTACAGCGGTCATCCTATGAATAGACTTGCCCTCGCCATGGGAATGTGAAATTTCCACCGCCGGCACGGCAACAGCCATCCCATGCCGCTCATTTGAGCAGTGAGGCACGTTGGCTTCCAAACTGCAATGATGATAATTAAAAAAATGTGTAAGCTGTTGGAAATCCACTGTTGGACGATGGCCTTTACCACAGTCGGGTTTGACTTGTGGCACCAGGAACTCTGCGCTGCATACAGAAACATGTTGCCATGTAACCGCTGTTCAAGTGTACATCCCTACCTATACACACGCCATTCCGCAAAGGTGCATATATATTGACGTTGTACATTGCACTCTCCGGGCTTAATTTCTCACCGTTTGTTTCCCCGGGCTCGCCGTTACACTGGTGAAGTAGGCGGCACGCGTGACTACATCATGGTTGTGCTGGCTGCAGAGATGGTTTTGCCCGGGACAGCTGATCCGCATAGAAACGACAGCAATTAAGCCCTGGTTGTACCGATCTACATCGTGATGAGTCCAGTATACATGTCCTGCCATCTGACCATGAGCATAACGGACAGCTAGGCTATGATGGGATGCAAGGGATGGAGTTTACTGAGCAAACTGTAGGATGTGACCAACAATGTGTGTGTGATGTGTGTGTGTGATGTGTGGTGTGATGTGTGTGTGATGTGTGTGTCTGATGTGTGTGTGATATATGTATATGTGTGTGATGTGTTGTGTGTGTGTGATGTCGTGTGTGTGTGATGTGTGTTTGATGTATGTATATGTGTGTGATGTGGTGTGTGTGATATGTGTGTGATGTGTGGTGTGTGTGATGTCGTGTGTGTGTGTGATGTGTTGCCAAAGCGCGGTTCGGGCGGTGCATCTGCCGGTCAGCCTGTTGGTTTGTTAACCTATAACCCCTGGGTTTTTCCTCCCTGTGACCTCCTGCCAGCGAAGCTTCGCCCACACTCCACGTGACCTCAAAGCGCACCTAGCCTGGCACGGGCACTTTGGCGGCAGTGATGACTTGCTCTGGTTGTTGTACCATGCGTGTGTGTGTGTCGGTGTACGTACGTATTTGCGTGTGTACGCTATTTGGGTTTGTTCTTTTGTTAATTTGTGTATGTACATGTGTGTATGCATTGGTATGTGTTTGTATTGCTACGCAAGTGTTTGCGTGTGTACGTCTGTGCGTGTGCACCTTAACGCAGAGCGCACAGCAGTGGCGCATGGGTTCGTGCAGCGCAACTGCTGACGTCTGCGGTCAAATTCAGTGCCGTGAAATTCAGTGGCAAGCGGAATCGGATCTGATTCTGTGCAACCTCTAGGTAGCCTCAGCCATAAACCACGTGGCTGCCTGTAATCCACCACTGCGGTGGCAGCAGCAGCGAGGGGTTGCTGGATCACCGCACACAGGAGCCGTACCCCTGGCTCACCAGGAGAAGGCGGTACAGCAAGTGGATTCATCTCCACCTGTATCCATCTGTACGGGGAGAGAGCGTTGCCCCAAGCACGTGTGGGGGTTTTCTCCGCCCGAGTCTAACAAACGCTCAACATAATTCGGCTGAAGACATCTTAAATTGAAAAGCCCGTGGGGCAGGACCCTCTTGCAAAAGAGTCCTTGGACTGAGTGGATAATTAGGTATTATTTTAAATGAGTACCATGTTGCCGTGTGTCAACATCAACACTGCGGAGACGTAGCTAACGGTGGCGGTGCTGCTGTTATCCTTGTTCATGCTGTTGATGTTGATGTCGGTGCTGTTGTTGCTGCTGCTACTCACGCTTAGGGTCGCCACCTTGTCCACTCCGGACCACAACCCAGACAAACCTCTCGGTCAGCTCTTGGTCTATTATCAGAACTGCGTCGTTGTTATACTGCAGTGAAGTTCAACGCAGCGACACTGATACATTACCAGACTTCGGTTTACAAATCTACTTCTGCCACCTGAACGCAGATGTCAATTCCCAGACCGTGCCGGGTCAAAACCCAAACAGGTGACGACCCTGGATTTGCTGCTGCTGCTGCTGCTGTTGTTGCTACTCTTTGTTGTTGTTTGTTGTTAGATGAGAGTGCGCGCGCATTGTTGTGGCCAGGCTGGGGGGTCCCGGGAGGGGTGCTGGCTCCGCGCCCGCCCAAGGTCAGCAGGAAGGCGAGTTCGATCGACGGACAGAGACCCGCTCCTCCATCTCGGAAATCGTCAACTCCATCACGAGTGACATGCTCATGGTGAGCAGCGCAACTACCCCCCCCACCCCCCCCCCCCCCCCCCCCGTGCAGCGGTATCGTGGAACTGAACGGGAGCGGAAAGGCCCTTTATTCAACGAGGCGTCGTTACGGCGTCATCGGGAGGGCACGGTGATGGGACCCGTGCCTCGCGGCAAGGAGGTCCTCACTCCCGACTCGGGTGCATCTCCGCGTGGAGTTTGCACGTTCTCTCTTCGCCGGTTCTGCCCGGGTTTCCTCTGATCACCTGTAGCTACAAACCGTGCAATATGACGGGAGTTTGAGCAAACGTCCCGATGCGGTAGGAACCTCCTTCAAAGGAGGCTTCAGACTCTCCGTGTGGCTTCGCTGGGTAAGTAAGTAATTGTTTTCAAATTATTATTGTTATTAAATTCTTATTGTTATTATTATTATTATTGCCAGCGGTGAAGTTTAGCCCATCGCAGAGGTCGCAATCGGGTACCCGATACCCGTACCCTACCCGATACCCGGCTACCCGTACCCGGCCGGGCACGGGCACTGGGTACGGGTAGACCGTGAGTCACTGGTGAGTAACCATTTGTCACTCATTTCGGGTAGGGTACGGGTAGGGAACGGGTACCCATCTGCGACCCTGGTCCGGCCAAGGTACGGGTAAGGAATCAAAACCCGTTTGCGACCTCTGGCCAATCGTCACCACGGGCTTACGTATGGCACGGAACCCCGCCAGATGAGAGGGCGGGATTTTACGCTGCTGTCAACGACTCCACAGCAAACATGCAACGTCAGCCCGACGTTCGATGTTGGGCCAAAATCTGACCGACGTCTGATCAATGTCAACTCGACATCAGGTCAATGTCTGGCCAACGTCAACCAGACGTTACCCCTCCGCTGCACGTTATCCTGGGGGGTCTCCACCCCCCTTCCCCCCCACGTTGTTCAGTCACCCGCTTGTCGCCCCGTCATCGCCACCGTCGAAGATCGTTGACGCGGAGGGCAACGCGACCGGCGCGCGCCTCCCCTCCCCTCTTCCCAGATCTCGCCCGACTCGGACGAGGACACGGGCGCAACGGAGAACCTCGGCAAGATCCAGTTCAGCGTGGGCTACAGCTTCCAGGACATGACGCTCACCGTGAAGATCCTCAAGGCCGTGGAGCTCCCGGCGAAAGACTTCAGCGGCACGAGCGACCCCTTCGTCAAGATCTACCTGCTGCCCGACAAGAAGAACAAGGTGGAGACCAAGGTGAAGCGCAAGAACCTCAACCCGCACTGGAACGAGACCATCCTCTTTGAAGGCGAGTGCCGCTCCCCCCCCCTAGTGCCCTTGGCTCCCTCCCCCCCACCCAGCTCCACCCCCCCCACCCAGCTCCCCCCCCACCACCTCCCCGCGCGTCGCGATGGCCTCGTTCGTTGCTCGGTGCACTCTGGGGTTTTGCGTCGAACTGGGATCCGTCTCGAACATCCGACGGTTCGCCAGCATTGGTTCAAGTGAGCCCGACTCCGCTGCCGCATTTCGCACCGTATGTGGCCAACCGTTGCGAATCGGAGGTGCCGGGTGAGACGCTGCTTGTCGAAACCAGCCCCTGCCTACAGCACACCTGGCGGTTCACCAGCATTGTTTCTAGCGAGCCTGACTCGGCTGATGAGACGCCGCATGTCGAAACCGGTCCGATGCCGCTGAAATTATGCCCTCCCAGAAGGCCGTGCGGCCAGTGGGATGTGTGCAATGACACGACGACCCGGAGGGAGAGACATGCGCAGGAGGACGAATTCGATGCCTAATTTATTTACTTTGCTGTTTCGGCGCTTGTAAGCACAGTGCGTACGCTGACTTCTTTCGCACCGTACGTATCCGACCGCGATAATCGGTGGCGCTTGCGTCGTCCACCGCAGGGTTTCCCTACGAGAAGGTCATCCTGAGAACGCTGTACCTGCAAGTCCTGGACTACGACCGCTTCAGTCGAAACGACCCCATCGGCGAGGTGTCGCTGCCGCTCAACAAGCTGGACCTGTCCAGCATGCAGACCTTCTGGAAGGACCTCAAGCCTTGCAGCGACGGCAGCGTGAGTGTCTCCTTGGGCGTTGGTGGTCGAGGCAAGGCTGAGAGCGTTGCACGCGCGGTGGTGGCGTGTCACGTACACACTCACGCGCCGTGCTTGCGTGCGGCCCTGCTGCTGTGTGTGGAGCAGTGGCACACCTCCGGCCGTTGTTTGATTCTCTTGAACGGGTGCAGTAGAACCCCCTCTTTAACGACGGTGATTGGTTTTCACCATGCTGGTCGTTAAGCGATTTGGTCGTTAAGCGAGTATAGGAAGCGCGCGTTAAAGGCTTAATTCGTTCCGATGGCATCGAAAGTTTATACCCCTTTTTCACCCAAAAAAATTAACTATGTAATATTTATTAAGCACTGGATATTAATACAAAAAGATACTGACAACATTATAAACACATTTAAAAGAAAAATGGTTAATTAATGCATTAATTGATATGTACTGTACCTACAACAGCCCGTCATAAACAGGTGAATGGTCGGTAAGCGAACACACTGGGCTATATGGAGGCATTACACCACTATACACTACACTATACACCACACTATACACTACTATACACTACACTATACACTACACTACTATACACTACATTATACACTACTATACACTACACTACTATACACTACACTATACACTACACTACTATACACTACACTATACACTACTATACACTATACTATACACTACACTATACACTACACTATACACTACACTATACACTACACTATACACTACACTACTATACACTACACTATACACTACACTACTATACACTACACTATACACTACTATACACTATACTATACACTACACTATACACTACACTATACACTACACTACTATACACTACACTATACACTACACTACTATACACTACACTATACACTACACTACTATACACTACACTATACACTACACTACTATACACTACACTATACACTACACTACTATACAATACACTATACACTACTATACAATACACTATACACTACTATACATTACACTATACACTACACTACTATACACTACACTATACACTACACTACTATACAATACACTATACACTACTATACACTACACTATACACTACACTATACACTACACTATACACTACACTAAACACTACACATTGGGCTCTATGGAGGCCCGTCGTTAAGCGGATTAGTCATTAACAGGGGTGGTCGTTACGAGGGGTTCTACTCTACACTACACTATACACTACACTATACACTACACTACTATACACTACACTATACACTACACTACCCGGTGCGGCGTGTCGTAAGCTTCAGTGCTCGGGGAAGACAAAGGCGGCCGGGCGCGACGACCGGCCACCCCACCCCCCCCCCCCTTTCGTCGGCCTTCATGGATGCTGCCCCCAGAGGGTCTGCTTGTGGCTACGCGGTGGCGGGGGGCGGGGAGGGAATCTTTGTCTTTGTCTCGGTTACAGGGGAGTAGAGGGGAGCTGCTGCTGTCGCTCTGCTACAACCCGACAGCCAACAAGATCACCATCGCCGTCATCAAGGCCCGCAATCTCAAGGCCATGGACATCGGCGGCACGTCCGGTGAGAGAGCCCCCGCCGGGCGAGACTCCCGGCAGCAGAGCGGGGAGGATTTGTCTTCTTGGTTCTTTCGGTAAAAGTCACGTAGAAGGGAAGTAATAAAAAAATAAAAAATAAAACATAATAAAATAATTCTCACAACGTTTCGGCCACAACGCAAGCAGCCGTCTGCGTGCCCTCTGTGGCGTGGCAGGAGGATAACCGCGTCATCGCCGCACCTTCCTTTAGGCGTGCGCCTGAATCTCCGTAGAACGCCCCCCGTTCATCCGGCGCGTTTCCCCTACGTAAGGGAGGGGGGGGGCAGCGGGGAAAGGCCCTCTGGCGCCTTCGTATGCACGGGAACGCACTCTGACGTAACGCTCGCTCGCTCGCTCGCTCGCCACCCCCGCGTAGACCCGTACGTCAAGGTGTGGCTGATGAACAAGGAGAAGAAGGTGGAGAAGAAGAAAACGGAGGTGAAGAAGCGCTGCCTCAACCCCGTGTTCAACGAGACGTTCGTCTTCGACATCCCCACGGAGAAACTCCGCGAGACCACCATCGTCGTCACCGTCATGGACAAGGACAGGTTGAGCCGCAACGACGTCATCGGCAAGGTGGGGGGGGAGGTGGGGGAGGGGTGGGGGGGAGGGGTGGGGGGGAGCGTTGGGGGGGAGGTGGGGGAGCGGTGGGGGAGCGGTGGGGGGAGCGGTGGGGGGAGCGGGGGGGGAGCGGTGGGGGGGAGCGGTGGGGGGGAGCGGTGGGGGGAGCGGTGGGGGGGAGCGGTGGGGGAAGCGGTGGGGGGAGCGGTGGGGGGGAGCGGTGGGGGGAGCGGTGGGGGGGAGCGGTGGGGGAGCGGTGGGGGCAGCGGTGGGGGGAGCGGTGGGGGGAGCGGTGGGGGGGAGCGGTGGGGGGGGAGCGGTGGGGGGAGCGGTGTGGGGAGCTGTGGGGGAGATTAGCACCAATGCCTCAATGCTCATTTAAGCAAACAAACATAACTTTGTCTCACATTTATTCCAAATGTAAGTTACCGTTGTTCTCAGGTTGTGTGATCCTCTCTCTGTGTGCCTGTGTGTCTGTGTGTCTGTGTTTCTGTGTGTCTGTCTGTCTGTGTCTGTGTGTATGTGTGTCTGTGTTTCTGTGTGTCTGTCTGTCTGTGTCTGTGTGTATGTGTGTCTGTGTGTCTGTCTGCGTGTCTGTGTGTCTGTGTGTCTGTGTTTCTGTGTGTCTGTCTGTCTGTGTCTGTGTGTCTGTCTGTGTGTCACCGCCATCCATTGCCCGTAGATCTACCTGTCGTGGAAGAGCGGCCCGGGGGAGGTGAAGCACTGGAAGGACATGATCGCCAAGCCCCGGCAGCCCGTGGCGCAGTGGCACCAGCTGAAGGCGTGACCAAACCCAACAGCGACAGAGACGATATCAACGACAACAACAACAATGACGATGATGATGATCTAAACAACAACTGTGGCCGGTAGGCCGTCTCCGAAGGGAGGCAAGGGCGGCAGAGGGGACAGAGCGAGGGGGTCCGAGAGCCACACTTCCACCCCCAGCAGACTCCTCGTGGCGACGGAGCACGATGCGGCCGGCGTTGGGGCCCATGGGGTTTGCGGCTTCTCTCTCCGTCTCTCTTTCTTTTTTTTATTATCGCCGTCGGCCGCTCGGCGGAGGCTCTCTCCCCGCGCGCGCCGGTGGCACCCGCTCGTCTCCGTCGTTCTTCCTCTCCAGCGTTCGGTGTCCACGGCGGGAAGCGTTGGTTGCCCGCGGAGGGAAATGTACCGCGGAAACGTCGGCGGCGGTTCTTCCCTTTTTTTTTGTGTGTGCGCCCGCCGACTTCCAGCAACCGCCAACCCCGTCCCTCGTCATCCCATTCCTCTCTCTCCGCGCCGCCGTCTCCGCGATCGCGGCTCGCTCGGGGGAACGTCGCGTGTCGCCGCTCGATTTTACCGCGCCGGCCCTGAGCTTTAGGCAGAGGTGGGGGGGGGGGGGGGTGGCGATCTGGGCACCAAGAGTTGGCGACGTAGCGGGCACCGTTAACGACTTCCGTGTCTCGTAGCGGGCACCGTTAACGACTTCCGTTTCATAGTAGGCACCGTAACGACTTCCGTTTCATCGTAGGCACCTTAACGACTTTCATTTCATAGTGGGCACCGTAACGATATAAGTCTCGTAGCGTGCACCGTAACGACTTCCGTTTCATCGTAGGCACCTTAACGACTTCCGTGTCTCATAGTAGGCACCGTTAACGACTTCCGTTTCATAGTAGGCACCGTAACGACGTCCGTCTCGTTCATTCCTTTACCTACATGGCTCGCAATCTGAGCGTCTGTCGCTGATCGCGCGTCACACTCGCACGTCACATCCAACGATATCAAACAACAGGGTCATTCCCAGCCGATTGCTATTCTTGGGGAGGTGGTTGGTGGTGGTGGGTGGCGTTGATCGGGGTGGCACCAAATTGGTTGCTCGCCGGGGTGGGCCGGGGGGCTTTCGCTTGCGCTACGAGGCCCGGGGGCTGTAAACCGCGTGATGTTCTAACGCGTCGCTCGCACCGCCACTTGGTTTTGGTTCGGCGAGGCGGTGAAGCCGGGAGCCGCTTGTTACGCTCGCTCGGTGCAGCTCGTGCCCAACTGCCACGGAGCTTTTTCGTCTCACTCCCATCTCCCTCGCTCGAGTCAATATCTTTCGTCTCACTCCCATCTCAATCTCTTCTCAACATCCCTTCCGTCAAGTTGTTTTCGCCGCTCGGACTGCCCGCGACCGCGTGCCGGGAACCGTCCCCGACGCGTTTTGTTTTGAGCCGTCGATGAGAACTTTTTTTGCGGCTTTGTGTTTTTTTTACACGGGTCGGCTGTAAGCCACGTGACTGCACTGCACACATTGGTTGTTGTTGTTATTGTTGTTCTTGTTATTGTCGTCGTTAATATATTGCTGCGCATTTTTTGGGGGGGGCAACTGGAAGCTTTACAGAAAAAGCCATCGTCATTGCCAACCGATGAGCGTCGGTTTAATCTTGGAGTTGTTTGGCGAGTCGGAGGTTGTCGCGATCGCTGCGTTCTCCAACAGGAAGACGGCGACGTGGTTTGGCGGAGAGTTGCATCTCGCAATCCTGCAGCTGTTGCGCGCGCGCGAGTGGCAGCAGTGGTCAGGGTTGGCGCGCTGCGCTACGAGCCCGGCGACCCCGAGTTCGATTCGCGGCTCACGAACGGTAACAGTGGCGAATATCTAAGGTCGACTCAGTCTCGTAGAATTATTAGTATCTGTTTTATTTCGATTTAAAGCTTTCGTGACTGCAGGGATTCATCTTCTTGGTTCTTTCGGTAAAGTCACGTAGAAGGGAAATAATAAAATAATAAAATAAAACATAATAAAATAAAATAATAAATATTTTATTAAAATAAAATAATAATTATTTTATTATGCTTTATTTAAAATTTTATTATTTTATTATTTCCCTTCTACGTGACTTTACCGAAAGAACCAAGAATAATGAGTATCTGGTGCGGTGTGTAAACAATTGCCACTGGGGAGAAAAAGGCGGCTCGGGCGTGGTGCTGGCCACCCACCCCCTTTTCGTGTGCCGTGCCGGCCTTCATGGGTGCTCGCTAACAGCACTTGCTCCTAACAGTCTATTAAAAGGCTGTCTGCGGGTATGGTTGTCTTTGTGTGTGACCAGACGCTTATACATTTATTCACACCGGGGGCGCAGGTTTGGAGGGGTGCATCTTCTACTTTCCCGAGCCGTCGTATATTCCAGAGAATTCGGTGCGAACCAAAGAAACTGCTCAACGCTCTTGAACGATCTTCCATTTTTTGACTGTTTCTTCTTCTTCTTTGCTTTAAAGAACCCTCTCCGCGCGCCGTTTAACTGCAGTCAATCTCAGAGGAGCATCGAGCTCTTTAAGAGCTAGGCTCGGAAACGTTATTACAAGTTCTGCCCGTTGAGAGATTGGACACGAAATGTGACATTTTTGACTCCACTTTGAAACCAGATTAAAAATTATCTGAGAATCTTACGTATAATTGTGGCAGAGTGGTAGACATGTTTCTGAATGTCATAACAGTGGGAAAGGAGTTTTAAGTGCATTATCTGGGTTAGATTCATGACACACCATAACTATGCTTTTCCCCGGTACATAATAATACTCAACAGGCCATTTATCAAATCCACTGCTAGATGAAGGGTTCCCAAAACGGTGTCAGTCACGGCGGGAGGTTGGGAGGGGGGGGGTGTTTGACCATATTTCACCACCACGCCGGTGATTGCCGACTGGTGAATAGCAAAGGGGTGGACAGAACCAGCTTCAGATCTCACTCACCTCTGCCACTGTCACTGCAGGAGCTCGGGTGGCCGTTTGGACTTCGTGTCGCACCTGCGCACACGCCACGGATGGACCAGGGAATCCCAAATTGTGTGGACGCGCGCCCACGGTCGTCGCGGGCCGGGCCAAGATTTTTTTTCCTCCCGACTCCGGTAATCGACTCAGCGGGGAAGGAATCCGTTTTGGCAAATGTGGCATTCAATTGTGTAACTTGCGTTGCCCCAAAGCGTTGCGACGGCTCCCTCCGAGCGTCTGCCCAACAGTCACCGTGCGCACACAGAGGGAGAGAAAGAGAGAGAATCGCCGTTCATCGCTCGCATCAACCCTTGCGGATGTGTGACGAGTGTTCGGACGAAGAGCAGCCTGCGGGTTACGAGCGACGAGCAGTCCGCTCGCTAACGCCAAACGGTTTACTCGTTCACCGAATGGGTCCGCTTAAACTAAACTATTTTTTTTTTGGCCAGGTAAGGCCCACTGAGCTATGGACCTGATTTTCAAAAGCGACCTGGCTATCACAAATGACAGCTCAACGAAGTGGCTTTTCATCGCGTGGAAATTTATAGCAGCCAGATACTAAACAACGCGATGACGTTGATTCTAAATGTGGAGGGAAAGACCGGAGGACCCGGAGAAAATTCCACGCGACCACGGGGAGGGAGAGAGAGACACGCAAACTCCAAATATGCAGCAGCAGGCGTCAGGGTTTGGATCGAACTCACGACCTCCTGTATACCAGGCGAGGTAGTTAACATCTCCTAGCCACCGTGGCGCCCCTTAGTTTGCCATGCAAGGCAGCACTGCGCACCGTGAGCCCGGCAGCCCGAGTTCGATTCCCGGCCACGGCTAACAATCAGTGGCGAGTTATATCTGGACTGCTCGCACCCCCCACCGTCAGCCCACACCGACCGGCGCGGTGAAGTATTGTCAAAACAACAACCCCCGCCACTTTACCAACACGTTAATGGGAGGCCTTCATTCGTCGGCGGATTGACAAAGAGCTGTTGATGATAAATAATGATAGTTTAGAGAACACAATTTTCCAACGGTATTTTTGCAAACGATCAAGGTGCAAGTTAATCATACAGACTTCTCAAACTATTTATTTTTCAACTTAGGATCTATTATGACCGTAACGTCAGACAACATCTAACACGTCTATTTATCAATTCACAGCTAACTTAGCAATTAATAATTACCGGCCTTTCTCTAGCTTATTGTGTTTACACAAATACAAGATCCAACAGCAAAAAACATTGAGTAAATTAAATCACAGTACACCACCATCATTATCATCAGCCATGGTCATTCCACTGCTGGATGAGGGCCTCACCAAGCCGCCTGATGTCTATTATGTCGCGATCTTGCGATGTAAAACAAACTCTTAAATTCCCTCCAAACACCGACGAAACGAATTCTAGATCCGAAGCCGCAACCTCCGATTTGTCAACACCACACAACGGGGCTCCACGATACACCGCCTTACACAGGCTCAGAAGGTGCCCAAATAATCAATGAAAAATAACAGAAACACCCAAGGGCTTCATTTCTCACTGAATATTTTCCGGATCGCTTGTCGGCTGGAGCGAGCGGGCGGGCAGGCGACTACGAGGATGTTAGCAGCCGCAGCCGGAACGACTGGTATACTGGATGTGGTGTGCCGGGGTGTGTAAATGCTTCTTTTGAGATCCCGTCGCGGGGCGGGGGGGGGGTTGTCAATGACGCGATACCATCTCCACCACGGCCCCCCTCACCCCCGTCGTTTTGGCTCCACGTGTCCGCGATCTTCTTCTGGATAGCGAACTCGTCAAAAAATATCTCCGGGCACATTGGAGGCCGCACGGCGCAACCGACGCGGTCGTGAGCTCCTCCGACGAGCAATTCCCCGCACTCTCTCCCGAACGCAACTCTTCCACATTGAGACGGTGACATCCGCTGTACCGTTTGGGTGCCAGCGCGTGGCATTTTATATATGTACGTATGTGCGTATACGTGTGTGTGTGTACGCGTCGAAATGTGCGGGGAGAGGCGTATACCCTCATCGTCTCGTGTATCTGAACAACAACAACAACAAAAGTCCGTGTAACACTTTCGGGAGATCTTTTCAGGTAGGTTGACGTTTGTTTCGCGCGCTCTTCCACACTTTTTTTTCTATTCTGCCGTCCCCCCGATCGTCGCCGCCGCCTTTGTACAGAAACGGAGGGAACGGGACGACGTTTCGCCGCCGCCCCCTCCTTGCTCTCGCGTCGCGGAAAAATGTTTTGTTTGTTCGCTGTTGTTGTTGTTGTTTGTCTCACCGACGACTCACCACCGTCCGGTGTTTACCCCCCCTCCCCCCCCCCCGCTGCGGAGCGCGGAGTTCACGTCGCCCCCATCGTCTGTCGCGTGTTCGTTGTCGGGGGGACGGGGGGGGGTTTCCCCGATTTTGAATTTTTTGCTGCTTTTATTCTCCTGAAGGTTTCCCTCGTGGGGTGTTCGGGGTTTGGGCGGTTCGCCGTGGAATCGCTCCCCCCCCCCCCCCCCTCGTGTTTAGCGACATCAACGCAGAGGGCGCTCCGCACTTTAGCGGAGGGATCGGGAGTCCTCGGATCCTCTCGTGTTGTTCGCGATGGTCGAGTTTTGGAGACGCACGGCCGGTTTACCTGCCGAGGTCATTGGGTTCAAGTCCTGGGTCCGCGCGCGTGTTTGTGCGTCTCTGTGCGTCTCTGTGTGTCTCTGTTGCGCCTGTGAGGCTCGCGGTGGCTTGCCGGGAATTTTCCGCGTGCGATTTTAACTCCTGTTTTGCAAAGCGTGTTAGTCGACGGTGGACGTGGGAGGGCTAGGACATATTTCTATTGGGAGTGGAACACTCCGAGTTAACAACAAAAATGTCTTCAAGAGAATCAACATTGCGCGGCAGTGTTTCGACACGAATTTACAAGCGTCGGGGAATTCCACGTTCCCATGGCAAGATGGGCTCTTCCTGCCTGCCCACCTGCATTTTTGAACGAACTCGCAACCCTTTTGAAAGCGAATCAGGAATTCTGTAATGTAATCCAACCTATTCATAATCGTGGCCGTCAGTCAGTCAGCCAGCCATGGTCAATCCACTGTTGTATGAAGTTGTCCCGGAAGCTGCCACCGGCCGGTAAATCGATTACCCTGACGAAAACATCGGCTCAATGATTGGAAATGGAGGGTGAAGTTTCAGCCGAGCCATTGCTCGCTCACGCCATTGGCGACGTCTTGAGGCAGACTGAGAGCGAACCGCGCAGTCTTGATCCATTCCGCCACACTGGCCCAGGCGGCTCGCAGGAGCGAGTCGGCTTGCATCCCATTGCAAGCGAGATGGACGATTGTTCACCGACCAGTAATGGAAATTGTCATATTTGAAGCAATTTTTTTACGTTATCGACCGGCGGCGGCGGGGGGGGCGGGCGCGATAAACGCTTCTTCTGATTTATGCTGAGCCTCTGCCGCGGTATCCTTGAGTGCACGTCATGTGTGTAGAGTGCCGTGGCCGTGTTTCCTCGCGAACGCGTGCATGCGGGGGGGGGGGGGTGATTTTCTGTTTGCGCGTCGCGAGCGGTTTAGCCCGCGGTTTCTGACGCTCAGAGGTCCGTCTGTCGCTCCGTCTTCCGTCCTGTGCTCTTCGTGCCGAAAGTCGAATGCTCCGGTTGGCTCAAACCCTTTGATGCCCCACGTATTAGTGGTGGTGGTGGTGGCAGTACTAATGACAGTGATTCTACATATTCAGCTGCTCTCGAAGTAAAGTCTTAATCCTTAAAACCCCGCATTAATCTTGACCGCGGTGAACCTACGCAGATTTCCGTTTAGTCAGCCTTTAATAGGATAATGGACAATTTACGATGACCTCTGCCTGACGTGTGAACATATTCCTTTGGGCTATCACAAGACAATAATTATATTTTGCCCATGAGGACAGCCTCGCTCTGGGTCTTAAGATTAAGTTTCTATAGGAGGGCCCTACTGCATTGAGACTAATGGCCATGAATTCCTTAATTAATGAGCGGGGCTTTTTTTGGGTGGCCGGAGGAAAGCGGAGTACCCAGAGAAAACACACGCAGGCGTACGAGCTGAGAACGCCAAATTAAAATCTTTACGGATAAGTGGCGACCTGCCGTACGTACGCATGTTGAACTTCTTTTGCGCCGTACGAAGCCAACCATGCTAAGAAGATAATTTGAACCAAGAAGATAATTTGTTTTATTTTACCAGGTAAAGCCCACCGAGCTATGAGATCTTGTTCAGAGGCGCCGTGGCCACACGTGATGATAGCTTATCCATTTATCGCGGCAGACAAATCATATGAGCGTGCGTTGTTTCTCAACGTGGAGGAGGGAGGTAAAACGGGAGGGACTCGGAGATCGACCCACGCTGTGACCACCACGGGGGGAGAGAAAGATCACGCAGACTCCAGATATACAACAACAGGGATCGCCAGGACCCGGGATCGAACGCACGTCCTCCTGCGTAGCAGGCGGGTTTATCACATAACATTCATAGAAGGTATTCGATTCCCATTACATATTTAGTTGTTTTCCTAAAAAAAATTACATTTAGTTATTTACACCTTAATTCATCACCCTACTGATACCCGTCGTAATAAATTACAATCGTTAAATCAGTCCAATAACCGGATGAAAGTCCCCTCCTTTGCAGTCGTGGGGTCATCGCGGTTGTTCCGTCACCACACT